CCCCCCCCCCCTCCAGATACAGCATCTTTTGCCTAAGCTCCTAAAACATGTTTTTTTTTCACCGGGGTTGTAATGGGGAAGTGAGACTTGCTGCCTGGCGCCTGCTCGCTGGGGGAGCCGGGGCGCCCGTGGGGAGGGCAGGGACGGTGCCATGCTCCTCCACTCACTCCCAGTCCCTCTGGGTTGTCTTTCTTCCAGGAGAAGCCAATATGGACGGCTTCCTCCAGAGCGTGGAGAAGGACCTGAACATCGACCGCCGGCAGCTGGCCGCCGCTCCCGAGAGAACCCACGTTACCGCCTTCATCCCGGTGAAATGGCTGACGAGCCTCAAAGAGCGGCGGGTGCTGCCCGGGCTGTGCCCGCGGCCGGAGGGGCTGAGCGACGTGGAGGTGAGGACTTTCCTGCAGCACTCCGTGCAGAAGCTGCCCGCGGGCTGGACCCGGGTGGAAATCCACGGGCTGCGGAAGGATCGGTTGGCATATCCGCTGCAGGTGCAGCCCCCAGCCTGTGACCAGCGTAACGGCAACGCGGAGACCCTGCACGGCTTCATGCAGAGCGTCGCCTCGCAGAATTACCGAAACCTGTGGTGCCGGGCTCACTGCCTCTACGTGCGGCCGTACCGGCACGCTGACACACCAACCACCGTGCCGGCCCTGGATGCGCTGCGGCTTGCCCTGCAGAAGGCTTATGGTTGCCCCATCCTTCACGTGGGCAAGAGTGTGCCCGGTGCTTCCCCCGCCAAGGAGAGCGTGGCGGCTCCCAAGGGGGGGCCCTCCTGCCCCAACATGCTGCAGGCTGAAGCTCTGCTTGAGTCGGCCAACATGCTGTACATCATCTACCCTTACGTGCAGTATTGTTTGCACGACATCGTGACTTTCAGCCCGGCCAAGCTCACCAACAGCCACGCCAAAATCCTCTTCCTCCTCTTCCACGTGCTGCAGGCCATGAAGGCTTGTCACCAGGCGGGTCTGGCTTGTGGTGCCTTTTCCCTTCGGGATGTGGCTGTGGATGAGAAGCTGTGCAGCCGCCTCCGCGTGAACTTTAGAGAGTACGAGGGACCGAAGAAGGAGGAAGCGAATCTGGAGGCTGGTCTGGAACGAATGAGCGAGCAAAGCAGCGCTGGCGTGCAAGGGCAGGAGGCGAGGTGCACTGCTTGCCAGAAGGACCTCCGGGACCTGGTGTTACAGTGGGTACATGGGCAGGTCAGCAACTTT